AGTAACGATACATTAATGTTGAACACAGAAGTGTAGCAATACTTGGGGTCATATATGGTTCCTTAGCCGGATTGGCATCATTGGTTGGAGTAACTTTCTGTCTGTGTATGAAATGCAGAAAAACAACATTCGATCAGGGGATAGTTCTCTATGAAAGGATGGCAAATGTTGAAACAGGTGTTCAGATACGTGAGTGCAATTTATAATAAAAATAATCATTGTAATCAACTACACAATTTCATGCCATCAGTGCAAATTTTGCAATCTGTTTATGATCGTTGACAAATACAAATACAAATATTCCACATACACGTACTTTATATAACATTTTCATCTTTATATATTTAGCATTCAGAAAAAAAGAGATTCAATATCATAAGAGATAATCGTAGGGGGACACCAACGCACAAAATGCCACATTTCCCCCCTACGAAAATATACACCATAGGCCAGGTCACCTTTGGATCTATATATAATATAGAATTTCACAATTTTTCTGACAATTCTCTGATGATATTGAAATCACATACAGTTTTTAATTTAATACTTTTGTTGTGAAATAAAACTGAGTAAGTGCATTTTTTAAGAAATACAATAAACTCTCATTAGTCGCACTCTCATTTAAAAGTCTTCATTTCATTTTATATTTATCTATTTTGTAGGCAATGAAGGACAATGTATTGATTAAAATGAAAGTATTGTTACATGTATTATATAATATGTCGGAAAAATATTTATCATGTTTGTGTTATCAATTTTTCCTTAGTCTTTTAAACATTTTTTAGAGAATATGTTATAAACGATTTATGTACATTCTTTTGAAATTTACCAATGCCTTGATTATTTATGTAGTATTGATATTTTGTAATTTCTAATAATTGTTTTTGTTTTGAGTTGCGGTGGAACATGGATCTTAAATGTAAATAAATTGAAATTGAAAAACAAGCAAAACAATGTGCATTTTGAATTTAAACATATTTTATTGATTTATAATCAACTGGATCAGACTCAAGTCTTTCTAAATTATAATGTCCTCTCCAACACAAACAAAGAAGAAATAAATTTATATACACGTGATGAACAACAAACAAATCTACAATGCAGAAAAGAAGAAAAGAGTGCAGAGAGATAAGAAAGGTAGGGAATAGGAGTGCAAGGAAAGAAGAAAGAAGGAAAGGGATGTAAAGGATACAGAATGGTTACGCTTGCAGTTCAAAAAATCTGTTCGAATTTTTAATATACTTATGTACGGCTTTAAAAATATTGATATTATTTTGTTGACCCAAGTTTGGGTCCCCAACGAGAATTTTATCAAGGTCTATTCCTCTTTGTTATTTTCTTTAGTATGTAATAATTCTCTTCTTATTTCGGTATAATTTTTACAATAGAGGAAGAAATGCTCACTGTTTTCATTGATATCCACAATAACACTAGGCAATATGCAATTGTTCCTTGACATTGTTTTTAAAATATCCTTTTTTAGCTCACCTGAGCCGAAGGCTCAAGTGAGCTTTTCTGATCAAAATTTGTCCGTCGTCTGTCGTTGTCGTCGTCGGCGTAAACTTTTCACATTTTCATCTTCTTCTCAAGAACCAGTGGGCCAATTTCAACCAAACTTGGCACAAAGTATTCCTGGGTAAAGGGGATTCAAGTTTGTTCAACTGAACGGCCACGCCGTTTTCCAAGGGGAGATAATCATGAATTTGTTAAAAATTAATGGCATTTTTTAAAAATCTTCTTCTCCAGAACCGCTGGGCCAGGAAAAATGAAACTCATGTGAAAGCATCTTCAGGTAGTGCAGATTCAAGTTTGTTCAAATCATGACCCCCGGGGCAAGGTTGGGGCCAAAATGGCCGACCCAAGTTTTACATAGGAATATATAGAAAAAATCTTTTAAAATCCTTCTCAAGAACCACTAGGCAAGGAAAGATGAAACTCATGTGGAATCATCCTCAGGTAGTGCAGATTCAAGTTTGTTCAAATCATGACCCCGGGCCTAGGGTGGGGCCAAAATGGCCGACTCAAGTTTTACATAGGTATATATTGGGAAACCTTTTAAAATCTTCTTTTCAAGTACTTCAAAGCTATGATTAGTGACATATATATGGAATCATCCTCAGGTAGTGTAGATTCTAGTTTGTTCAAATGATGAACGCCTAGAGGGGGGGGGGAGTGAATTCAAGCCCGATGTGCTCAGGTGAGCGCTGTGGCCCCTGGGCTTCTTGTTGTAATTAGACTGGGACACATGTAAATTACCTATTAAGTACATGTAATGAAGTGATGGTTTTTACATGCTTCAACACAATATGAAAAAGAATTCATACACATCAACTGATAAATACATGTAGCAACAACAATACATGTAGCAACAACAAATCCCATATAATTTACATAGAAGCATATTAGGATGCGTAGAATTCAAAATGAAACATTCTTCAATTTCAGACAAGATGAATTATTATCAATTTAATGATTAATTTTAGAGTTATTGTACATTGAAAGAATGTGTTTATGTTTTCCTTTCTAATGCTACGATGTATACAATGTATGTAGTAGACCATATGTATATATATGTATGTTTTTTTATTTTGGCAATTTTACAAAATGTTATATTAGAAGAGGACTATCTAAGTTACTGAACTTGTGTCCGATCCTTTTGACATTATCAATAAAATATATGCTATTCAATTCAGTTATTGTTCCCAAAGGATTGACAGAAATCCGCAATTAACAAGCCATTGGATTCGGGATTTTGATTAATTAAACAAGAGGCCCACGGGCCTTATAGGTCACCTGAGTATCATGTAACAACTTTCCAGCGATTGTATTTGGTTCGTGTTTTAATCCAAAAGCCATGAAATTCACAAATTTTGAAAGAGGCACCATTGCTTATCAAAGGGCAGATTTCAAAGCTTTAATTTATTTTTAGTCAAAGTACCCCCCTGGTACCCCTGACCCAGCGGCTCTGAAATTATCTATTTTGAAAGAGGCCCCTTTCTTCATTATAAGGCCAGCATTTTTTTTATGTTTAGGATTAGTTATGAACATGAGAATAAAAATGTCCTAAAGGAGAAGGAAATACAATTTTTTTTTGATAAATCAATTATTAACATTTGTACGTTCTTTTTTTATGCTATCCTAATAGGCTCCTTACCACTGGACACATAATGCTTACAAGTAGGAAAGTAGAACATGTAATTGCTTATTTCATCATCTGCCAGTTTGGGCCAGTTGTATAAATTTTTGTGATGTTGATCAAAATATACTTTAAAAAATCAATTCTTTAAAAGTCTTTTAATATATCTTCATTTTTATAATATGTGTAAGGCGAATGTGTAGACATTGTTCGAAAATTTACTTGATCCCTAAAATTATAATTCCTATCATTAAACAGACAGGGAGTATTGGGGAGTTGGGTGAACATTTTTTTTTCAATTAAGTGTAAAATAATTTTACTGGCTGATGCAAATGATACTACATGCCTGTATACATTTGTATATTCTTGCCTTTTAATAGTTGAATTTTTTTTATTTCTTCAGGTTATTGTTTATTTCTTCCTCAGATGGACTTAACTTCTCCCATAGTTTTATTCATTACATCTGATGCATAAGCAATCCTTTTCTGAAGAATGATGCTTAGACTGTAAGCTATAACAGAGACCTAAACAATGTCGCTGGCAATATGCAATAGCTACCACGGGCAGTTTAAGACCTGGGGGAGGAAAATACTTTTGAAACGAATACATAATTATCTCACCAGCATGTCATTGTGCAACAAAGTCGTCAGCATTTTATTTGTCCTTTGAACGGGTGAAACGTTTTGAATGGCACTCTTATTGATGAATTTTACACTAAACCAAGCTATCTTCTTACCCGCCGTTTCACCTTAAAACCGGAAGTGCGAGTTCGTAAATTTGAAATCTCGATCCCGACTCAAATTTGACATCGGAAAGAAAAAAAATTGTTTTATTTTTTTCTGAAAATTCAAAACCTTGAGTGCAGGGTTTGTAAAACTGAAAATAAAATAAATCCTGGCCTTAAATATGCAATTAGATCATAAGCATATTAACCAAGAGCAAAGGATAAGGTGTTCAAAGAAATCATGCATTTCACTATATAATCATTAGAGCCCCACCCTTAAACAAGAACCTCTGACCCTGGGGCCACAAAATTCACAATTTTGGTAGAGGCACTCTTGCTCATCATAACTATGTACTTAGTTAGTTTATTTAATAACCAGGAGCAGAGAAGAAGATTTTCAAAGAATTCATGTATTTTCACTATATAATCAATAGAGCCCCGCCCTAACACCAGAACCCCTGACCCTGGGGCCATAAAATTCACAGTTTGGTAGAGGCACTCTTGCTCATCATAACTATGTACCTAGTTGGTTTATTTAATACCCAGGAGCAGAGAAGAAGATTTTTAAAGAAATAATGCATTTTCACTACCTACTTATTTAGCCCCGCCCTAGCACAAGAACCCCTGACCCCAGGGCCAAGAATTTCACAATTTTGGTAGAGGACTCATTGCTGGTTACAATCATGCAAACAGTTTGACTGCTTGATGTTCAGGAGTAAAGAAGAAGATTTTTAAAGATTGCATTAATTTTAGTGGTTTTGGCCCCACCCCTCGGGCCCCAGGGGGGCAGGGATCATGAAATTCACAATTTTTGTTCCCCTTCACCCATAGATGCTTTGTGCCAAATTTGTTTGAAAATGGTTCAGTGGTTGCAGAGAAGAAGCTGAAAATGTTCAAATGTTCGACGCACGACGACGGACGAAAACAGATAGCAATAGGTCACCTGAGTTTACTCAGGTGACCTAAAAATTGCATTGATACGAGTTCTCTTTCCCCCACTTTCATATATTTAATGAACATACATGTAACAGGTACATTTTTTGTATTTAAAAGAGAAAGTTGCGCTAGAGCTTTAAATGTCCTCCATGTTTACCCAAAGTAAACAATAATAAATCCTTCTGCGCACCCAAGTTACCTCTAAAATCTCAATTTAAAATCACGCCTAAAAACACGGAAGTAAAAATGTGAACAGGAAACTCAGCAAAAATCAAGTCAAGAATTCGTTATATTCTAACCATGGACTGGAAACTATTGACTGTTGTCTTTGCTAACATTTTAGGTAAGAACATTTTTTAGTTAGAACTAAGCTCAGAAGGTTTTCCGAGTTTTCAACACAATCGAAGACCTATTAATTACCGAGGTACCTGCCTAGTGGACGATATACTTTTAGTAACCCCCCCCCCATGCCCCTTTTCTATAGTTTCCGAGAACTATTAGACATGAAAATAGATTATTTCTCAGCCTATATTCTGATATAGCATTTCGATTTTTTTTAATAACCTTCTAATTTAAAAAGGGGAAGGGCGGGTTACACGTTTCATTCGTCAGGTGCCTGTGCATATTAGTCAAAAGATATTCGTATACAAAAGTTTAACTTTATTATGTGAGACAGGTAGGCTGATAATATAAGCGTGTTTCTACAAATTTGCATATATATCATAATCGCTAAAACATGAATAAGGATTTGCGGATGGATGATAAGGTACATTTTTGGGCAGATTCCTATAAAGTCTTATTCAATTTCGTTTTGGTGTTGTAAAATGTTTTGAAAAAAATTAAAAATCCACGAAAGGAGATTATACCAAACATTTCTAAAGTTTGTTATTCGTTGTCATATAATTTGTAGAATAAAATTTTATTGTCCTTTAAATCCAATAAAAAAAGTTCGAACATGCTGAATTTGTGGCCCATATTTACCTGTAAATGCAATCTATATCTATCACAAATAGAGTACTGTTACATGAAGTCAAAACATTATTAAAAAAAGAGAGAAATAATGTTTTTTTAAAGAATTAAAAAATATATTATAATAATCAAATATCTCTAATTTCACAAGTTGAAAAAAAAAAAAATAGCCATTAAATATGAAAGCATTATATGTGCGTCGGTTAACAAAATGTCATTGTTTTTCCCCGTCTGTTTTTATATTTGTAACAGTACTGTCTTTTAAAGTACGTGTACCTATATTCAAAGCATAGAAATTTATCTGTACCTATATTCAAAGCAAAGAAACCTATATTTAAATTAATTGTAAATATACCTTTCATTTAATGAATAATTATCAAAGATTGGCTTAATTCCATTATACCCCTCTTAAATTTATTTGAAGATAGGTACAAATATTTTGAAGATAGGAATAATAGAGTTCAAGATATAACAAATCTTTAAATCAACTGTACCTATCTATCTGGCCATGGTACACTAAAGGTACAGCTTCAAATTATTTAGACATTTGAACATTGTTACCTTAAAGTGGTAAAAAAAATTCCAAAATTACTCTTTAAGATAATGTATTTAACTACGGAATGTTGCATCTACCTGATCTTTGAAAAGGGCTTATAAAGCTTATGACTGGTGAAAAGGGGCGCTTACTCATCCTAGCCATCCGATCCCATCTCAGGAATTTCCAGTGTCTGTGTTTCATATGCTCTCTTCATTTGTATTGTTAGGAGATTATTTGAGATCGATCTCTGCTAATTTTCTCCACCTTATTTTATTTTATTTTATTTTATTTATTTATTACTTATTTTAGATCTCAGCTGAGGTTACATGTTCCTGTAGCCCTTATTTGTGTTGCTTAGTTTTATAATGTTGTGGAAATGTTATAATATAACCATAGTAATTGTTAAAACTGTACAAAAATTGTTCAGAAATGGTTTAATTTTTTTTTTAAATATTGAATATATAATAAAATCTCTCTTATAAATAAATTTCTACGTAATCTGGTTTGTTTATATACAAATCGTTTGAAGAACAGAAATTCAATGCATTATTGTATTTTTCGTTTAGGTTTATCCACCGTGTCTGGTTCCTGCTACTATAACTCGTATACTACTTCCTACTACTGTTACTATGATTACTACGATTATTACTACAGCTACTATAGTAACTACTATACACTGGGGTAAGAAATAGTTTTTTTTTCAAAAGCGGTTAAAATGGTTTTGAAAAATTTCAAGGAAACAACTTATCACATGTATTTTCCTGTTTGTTTTTACTATTTAGTCAGTAGTAGTTGGACATTATATTGAAAATTTTCACCCCAGGAAAACTATTGTCAACCGAGGCGCAGCATGTAGTTGAGTGTAACATTGAAAATTTTCACCCCAGGAAAACCATTTCAACCTCGGCTGCGCCTCGGTTGACAATGGTTTTCTTGGTGTGAAAATTTTCAATGTTACACTCAACTGCATGCAATATTTATTATATTATACTGAATGTTTTATACAAATACATATAACAGTGAACCACGCGCGCATAAATTATGCGCAGTCGCTATTTTTTGGATTATAACTCGCCGTCAAGTTGACTGTTGCTACGCTGGAGGGCGTGGCTTCTTTTTTCAGCGGGTAATAGTGTTTTTTAACAAATGTATCTCGACCAATCAGATTCAACTAATTTACATGAAAGTATAATAGAAAAAAAATATTCAATTATCCACCAGCTTGATATTTAAATTTGCAACTTTTCATCGGTTTAAATTCAAATATCCATTAGTGCATACAACACATTACATGTATTTAGGAAGGCATGAATAAAATATGCGGCTTGTTTAGACACACTGGCATTTTACATAAAAAATGAAGTAGTATAAATTTCTAATCATTCACACTTTTAAAATCTTGTTAAAAAGCGCTTCGGGCTTGCCGCACTATTGAAAGCTTGTAAAAAAATTTCCATTAAAAAAAAATTAATTGCATGCACTCTGGATGTGTAATATTAAAATCCATTAAGATTTCAACCAAACTGTTTCCTGTATTGAATTTGAATACTAGTACAAGTTAATTGTAGATTTGGAATCACACATCATATTTGACAAGAGGTTTAATTTTGTTTTCTTTGAACCTTTCTCCACTTCACTTTCTCTTCGGTCGCCCGCGTGGGGCAGTGGTTAGAGCGTCTGCTCTAGAGTCGCGAAGTAACTAGTCAATCCCTACGTCGCGGGTTCGAATCCCACTGCGGGACATGGAGACCGGTCCTTGGGATGAGATTGTATAAACCGAGGCCCCATGTCGCAGTAGGTGCTGGCACGAAAAAGATCCCTCATTGCTCAAAGGCCCTAAGTGCCTAGCATAAGACAAAATTTGTAGCCCTCCACCGGCAAGTGGTGGCGTCTCCATATGAGTGAAACATTCTCGAGAGGGACGTAAAACAACATACAATCAATCAATCAATCATTCACTTTCTGTTCGTCTGATTTCCATTTCAAAGACATCAGTTGAAGGGCATCACTTTTACCTTACCTATTTCAACCTTACACCCAACGGCAAACACTAGTTGAGCGGTTGTGAGCAAAGTGATTTTTATCTTTATTAGGACACCTGTACTTGCAATTCTAGCCTTGGTAGTGCTTTTACGTTCAACATATTAAAAAAAAATATCACAAAACACAGACAACCTTTTCATCGATTTAAACAGTATTAAAAGCATTGTTCGGCTGGAATTCCTAAATCATTTCCTTACCAAATAATCACCTGATATTATCAATTTCTTTGTAGAAATTCAGTCATTTTCTCCTGCTTTTTGGTCGAGGTTAATAACAATAATGTCATTATCTTCTCCTAGTGTAATGTTTATGAGTTACCAAGGCTTTAAACAGGTAGGATTTAAACAGATTCTTCATGTAATCCCCGGTCTGCCTGGTAAATGTAGCATGGAAAAGTGTGACAGGAAGTTAACACTAGTTTCCTGCTCACTAATCCTTGAATCAAAGGAATGTTTGTTTGACTATTGTACGTATAATTCCTCTACTGGATTGATGGTCATCTATTACAGAGTACATAACTAAAATACCTTGCTTTAACCTCTGTAAATCAATGTTTAACACAGTGTTGGTGCCATCCTTGGTATCATATTTGGCTCCCTTGCTGGATTGGCCATCTTAATTGGACTTCTCGTCTGCTTGTGTGTTTGCGTATGCAGAAAAACCACACCAAATCAAGGCACAGTTCTTTATTACAATCCCAACACAAATGTAGGAGCAACTGTGTTGCAAACTACCCAGTCACGTAAGTGCGGTTGATAAAAAATGATGACATGTTCGATCTTTGAAACAGCAATTATTAACGTTAAACGAAATTTTAAAACCTAAATTTAAAACTTGTTTTCAAAATTAAAGAAAAAATAATTTCTGGTTGCACAAATAATCTTTCTAAATTAAGACAGACAGAGCAATTACATAGTGTAGTCATGGTTTCATTGTGCCATTTTTCTAACGTTTCAGCGGAACAGCCTTACACTCAGCTAAGGTTTTACCCGACCTATCCTGAGCAGATGCAAGCACCTGGGCAGGCAACTGGGCAAAGTGGAGCATTTTCTGGTGCTTTACCTCCCCAGTACAGTCCATCTCAACAGTCTACTGAAAATGAAAACCACACCCAGAAATACTAGTGACGTGTTGCTAAATGGTTGTTACATCATCGACATTCTTAAAAAAGGTTTAAACTGGTAAAGACAAGCAATGAGTAATCTTAAGTTGCTTTGTTCTTTTCTTTGTTTGTTTGTATATTGCTGTTAACGTTCTCCACTTATTGTTTAATTATTTATAAATGCAGTTTTTAAACTCCCCTCAAAGAAAAATACTTTTAAACATGTTTATTGTATAATTATGATATTTATAAATACTTTGATGACTGATTACATATTAATCATTATAATAAGTTTGAAATTTCTAATAAAAGTACGCATGTTTTTGTGAAGACTGAACATCAAGAATTCTATTAAAATTAAGAAAAAAATCCAGAGATACACAAGTCATGTTTGAAAATGACAACCAATCCTTTATTTGTAATTTTAAAGATAACACTTTTCTTAGAAACACTGAGTTAAATGTACGTACCCTACCAAATATATATACTTACATAGCAGGGACTCTCTTTTTATGGTTCAGTACAAATGAGCTAGAATATATAGCACATTATAGTCTCGTGTGTTTGTTCTGTCCAATTTATTTCAATATTTCGAAGGTATGTGCTTAAAAAATATCATTCTATTGTATATTCAGTGCAATTAAGAGCCAGACTTTGGAAAAAGACCTTGCATGCTATTGCAGGTCTGTATATGTCTACTTTTCATTTCAGGTTGACACACTCAATCTCCTTAAAGATGCTTCAAAATTTCATTAACTGATGTGATGTCTTATTCATATCAGTGATGAAAATCCTTTGACAATGAAGTATAATATATACACCGTATAAGGGCAAAGCCTCCCATTGTCACATCCTCTGCATTGAGAAACATTCATACGATTACTTTTCGAGAAAAACGCTTTGTCCACGATTTTACGGGACAACCCTCGTATAAGATGATTTGAAGGAAGAAATAACATGTTAGTTATCATGGCAGCTGATCCCAACTCTGATGTATCATAGGCCCGTGTTTGCTCTGCTCCTATATTTTGAATTGTTTTATGGACTTTGATATTGAATGCTGTTCGTTAGCTCCATATTCGAGTAAGCGGGTTATGTAATTTTCGTTTTCTGCAATAGCTGCGACGTTAATTCCCGTAGTAATAACCAAAGAAAAGATATTTTATTGTTTAAACATGTATTAACATAAAATGTGTTAAATATTGTGATGTATATGTAAAATCTTGTGATAAATACGTATGTTCAAAATCTTGTCATGTATGTTCTGTAAATTTTGTAAAGTAAGTGAAATAATAATGCATTTTGGGTAATATTTGACTTCATTTCGATAACTTTAGTTTAATAGTAGAAAGTAGAACTAGACCAGAACTCTATGGAAAGGGAGAACCCGGGCTCGGGGACTGTACAACTTTATTTTAAACTGATAAAGTCGATAACCTAAACTTTTGCGCAAATCAGAGAATGTATCCTGTTTTGTATGACAAGGAATCCCACAATGCACACATATTGTACAAATATCACAAGATGATAGACAGGATGATAGAATATGCATACCAATTCATAGGTTGAATGCACATTACAAGATACTGCTGTATCGAATAAACACCACAAGATGGTAAATATAGCAATTCATTCTGCATATACATAACGAGATATTGAACACCTGCGCCGAAGGCTCAAGTGAGCTTTTGTGTCCGTGATCTGTCGTTGTTGGCGTTGATTATGGCGTTGTAAACTTTTCACATTTTCATATTCTTCTCAAGAACCACTGGGCGAATTTAAACCAATCTTGCCACAAAGTATCCTTGAGTGAAGGGAATTCAAGTTTATTCAAATGAAGGCCCAATCCGTCTTCAAAGGGGAGATAATAATGAATTAATAAAAAATTATGGTATCTTTTAAAAATCTTATTCTCCAGAACCATTGGGCCAGGGAAGATGCATGAAACTCTTTTGGAAGCAGCCTCAGGTAGTTTAGATTCTAGTTTGTTCAAAATCATGACCCCGGGGTAGGACGGGCCCCCAATGGCTGATAAAATTTTTACATAGGAATATTTAATAAAAAAAATCTTTTAAAAATCTCCAGAACCATTTGGTCATTAATATTATCCAGTTACTTTATATCATAATTCGTTAGGATAGGATTGGAAATCCAATTTTTACATACTAGATATATATAAATCTTCAAAACATCTAAAGAACAGGAAAGCCATGACATGCTTGGTGATATTTAAGCATTCTCAGATAGTATAGTTTCAAGATTGCTCAAATAAGAATTTTTGGGGGTAGGCTAGGGTCACGTTGTGGTATCAACTTCTATATAGACATATTTTTAAAATATCTTTAATTAATAGAATAATTTTTTTTTGGAGAACACCAACTCCATGATTAGTAATTTTTTAATGGAACAAATGGAGGCATCATCGGGTGGTTTAGATTCAGGTTTGTTCAAATTATGACCCCCGGGGTAATGGTGTGGCCACACTAAGGAATCAAAGTAATATATATAGGAAACATCTTCTCCAGCATTTAAATGTTTTGTTTAATCAATTTGACATGTAAGCATCTGCAAATAGTGAAGAATTAGATCTATACAAATATTTTTTTTTTCCAAATTAAAATTTCCGAGGGGGAGGGGGGTTATCAATGGGCCACGATGGGATATAGAATTGGAAACACTCTATAAAAAACTGTTTTAAAGTGTAGCAAACTTAACCTTGTATGCTTTATTGATATAGTGAAATTCTCAAGTAATAGAAAATTCAAATCCCCCTTCCCCAAACAAGTAAATTTAATACTAAGCTGATTTGTGTTTTTAACTAGCTCATGTGCTCAGGTGAGCGATGTAGCCCATGGACATCTAGTGATACATCAACCTAGCAGATTTGTTCAAATACAATTAAACTATTTTTCTAAATATTATTTAGCTAAGAACAAGCTGTTTAAGAAACAGGTGTTTGGTTAACTTTACATCTTAGAAATACGTATATTGGACTTGACAGGCAATACAAAGCTACTGACTAAGAAACACGCCATTTGGGATACATTTGTAACCGACATCATATCAGTTTCCCTTGATATTATTGATTATTTTTAACCCATTGTTCTTTAATTTTTCTTTGAAATAAAATAATGAAAGATAATACTTGAGTATATTCGAAACGTGTCTTGAAAAATTGTGATGACCGTTTTGCGGTGATTTACTTATGCATGCTACACATTAAGATTTACTGAGGTTTTGGCTGATTTCTTTCTATGCAGAATGTCTATAGACATAAATTTGGTGCGCAGAATCCACACATCCTACCGGCTTCAACTTAATACCAATTACTAAGCTTTTAAGACTTTTTGGCACACGTTCAGACATTTTTTGTTTTTATTTTTAGACTTTTTTTGTTTTGCATTTTGTTCATCTGATTCAGATGATGCATATCAATTTAAACATTGATGCATTTTTTCTTGCTTTTTTGTATTTTTTATGCATTGCATAATTAATTTCTGTATCTTTTCATTATGCATTTTTCTCCTTAATTTTCTTTCCGGGTTTAGACGAGATTAAGATTAGAAAGAATTCAAGATTAAGTTGAGGATATGTTAATTTTATTTTACCAAAAAAAAAAAAAAAAAAAAAAAAATCTTAAAAAATAATTTCCTTCTACATTACACTTTACAATCATATTCTTTCCTTCATTATGAAACGTCTTGAGTATCAATTTAGTTAAGATTTTGTCAATTAATTTTGAAATTCCAAACATTTATTTTCATCAATATCAATAACATTAAAATCAAATGGAAAATAAATTGAAATATGGAGCTTTGCTACCTTTTTTCAGAAATGAATTATATGTCAAACCAAGATCTAGATGTGAAGAAAATGTGATATATTTAAATAGAAAAATCAATTATTTTTATCTCATAATAAAATGAGAAATATGAGGTACATGCTTAGTAATAAGTCATTAATAAGTACAACAAAACTTCTACTGTGTCCCCCCCCCCCCCCAAAAAAAAGACAATTATACATTAAGTACTTCCAAATCACCGTGCTATAGCGTTACTATGATACATTATTCAGTAACGTATGATGAAACGATTCCTTATGGAGTTTTTACATGGAGATTTGACCATGGTAAGTTAATGTCGTATTTGTATGCCTTAAACGCAAAATAGCCCTAATTGTGTTAACCGTTGCATTATAGGAATGACACAGGCATCTGTTGACATAAAGGACAATGTCCAGTGATGCGCCGTTTTCTTAAACACTTTGCACTTTCATAATAAAGAGGCTTAAAAGTTCGATTTATTCATAGAACTTTTTTCCCAATCAAGTTACATGATCAGCCACAAGTTTACCATGATGAAAATTTGTTGTTTTTCCATTTCACTCTAGAATTGTGATGAAAATGTTTATTGAATCGCTTTTAACATGGGTTTTTAGAAGTAACGTATGATGCAACGATTCCTATCATCAGTAACGTGCGATACAACTATTCTTTAACAATCGTATTATTAGACCAATATGTGGGATTTCTTTACTAAGACACGTCTCAAAGTAGGGTAATAAAATTACTCATTGCTTTCTTTTTATCACAGAATACCAAATGGTTAAGAAAAAAGAAAAACTTGACTATAGAACGACTAAAAGAAAAAAGTACAGCAAGAATAAAGTCATTTCATCCCCTTACCCAACCCCGAAAAGAAGAAAAATTTCTACCCCATTTAAATCCAAAAATCGACATGTTGATACCCAAAACAGAAACACTGTAAAAAGTCCCCAGTGCGCATTAGTAGAGAATGATTGGACATTGAGTGAAGCCTATGGTCATGCTTTCAATAATTATTCTCCGAAGTATAAGAGAATTCTTACGAGAACTGCATCACCATCAGTGCATAAGCTACAGTCTCAGTCACCTTGCTCCGTTAATGATATATTTCTTCAACAAGACAACTATCAAAACGATTTGCTGGCCAATATATTACAAAAGTTAGATAAAGTTGACTGTAAAAAAGACTTTGAATTTTGTTTAGATCTTGTTTCACGTGATAAGTTCCCTCTAGAAAATATTGCCTTTTTGCTGTTTCTAGACACTGTACGATTCATTGGTTGTAAAGAGTTAGTACAATGAAATACAGGTCAAACACAAAATCTTTCTGGAAGGCTGGTAGGAACTTACTCCATAACAAAATTCTATATTTCATGGGCGGACCCAGGTCTATAGGGAATGAAGAGGGAGTCATCGAAGAAGAGAAATTTCCTAGAATAAATTTTGCCGTACCTAATGAAACGATTTTGAATAAATTCAAAAGTTCTTCCTTTGATACTTGCATCCCAAAGCGTATAAATACAGGGTGCTTTTCACACATTTAGAAAATGTTCTTCTTTTCGGGGTTGGGTAAGGGGATGAAATGGCTTTATTCTTGCTGTACTTTTTTCTTTTAGTCGTTCTATAGTCAAGTTTTTCTTTTTTCTTATCATTTGGTAATCTGTGATAAAAAGAAAGCAATGAATAATTTTATTACCCTACTTTTAAACGTGTCTTAGTAAAGAAATCCAACATATTGGTCTAATAATACGATTGTTAAAGAATAGTTGTATCGCACGTTACTGATGATAGGAATCGTTGCATCATACGTTACTTCTAAAAACCCATGTTAAAAGCGATTCAATAAACATTTTCATCACAATTCTAGAGTGAAATGGAAAAACAACAAATTTTCATCATGGTAAACTTGTGGCTGATCATGTAACTTGATTGGGAAAAAAGTTCTATGAATAAATCGAACTTTTAAGCCTCTTTATTATGAAAGTGCAAAGTGTTTAAGAAAACGGCGCATCACTGGACATTGTCCTTTATGTCAACAGATGCCTGTGTTATTCCTATAATGCAACGGTTA